ACTAGTGGCTCTGATTATACTGAAACTGAGAATGTGAATTCTGTGGATGATACTGTGTCTGGGTGTCTAAGAATGTTGGACACCGATGTGAGGGTAGTCCCTAATGAGTATACACGGATTTGTCTTTCTCCATTGACCGATGAACGTTGTGCAAAGATTGTCGACTCTGTGAGAAACGATTCCAAGAAACCTTTCCGTCCGACTGATGAACAGGTTATGGGGATACTCAACCTCTTCAGACAGAAGAACGTTATGATGAAACTGAAAGCGATTTGTTCCGGGTTGAAGGAGGTCAAGAATGGATCAATAAATAAGTTGAGAAAGGTGGTGGTGCTGGACAACTATAATGGTTCTGTAACACTCGTTGTTGGTACTTCTAATGGCTACGACTCGCCCGAAGCATGTGCTCCTGAGTGGATGCAACCATTGATCAATTTCAAGCAGTTTCGGTCCTCTAAAATGGACCTCAAGGGTACTACCTTTGTCAAGAGCAAACCTAGAAAGGCAGATAAAAGAGGCACAGCTCCAAGACCAATGAATTCTTTCCTTCTCTACAGAGTCCCACTACAAAAGGCTCTCCAACTGTTGAAAATCGCAGAGCTCATCCCAGATCCAAGCACATTCATAGAAACAGAAGACGACCTTGAGAACTACTTCGTCGGAAAGATGAGAGAGTACCAAGATTTGGAAAATTCTGTCAAGTCCCAGGTACTGAACGGCAACCATTTCCTCTTCATTGCCCCGTATATGTGGAAGACTGAGGATAAGAATGTTCGGAACAACTTCAAGATGGCCTCCATAACAGAGGATAACCATCACAAGAAAGCGTGGAAAGATTACAAATTCAAGAGAGATCCTCCAAAGAGGTTTCAAAGACGGAGCTTCTGAATCGTGTGGCTGTTATACACACAGCATATGACCACGCTCAATGCTATCCACCGTGAATGGCATCTCTCAACTTCCATGAGTCGTAATACCAAAAGGCAACACACAGGAAGGCATAATGGTTGACAGTTCAATTGCGTATCATTGGCTGTCCTTAGTAACTGTATATTGTAGATTGGGAGGACGCTGGTACTCTAGCTCAATTAATTTATATTTATATTCAAGCAGAAACTTATTAGAGTAGTTGAGAAGGTGGAAGACAGCTGTATAGACGTGTTCCGTCATATATAATGTGCTACAGTATGCACATTTACGACCCATTATTCATAGGCATATTTCGGAGCATTCCGCAACCAAAGTTCCTGGTATAATCGGTAGAAGAACGCTTGTTGCCTCCAGAACAGTACCACACCACTGTTAATGGTCTAATTGGACCATTGATACCGTACTGAGCTTAGTTCACCACCATCAAACAACAATTCAATGGAGCATATCCACCTTTCATGGGCTTGAAGGTGTTTGTAAAGCCGGGTAACAAGTTCAACAACTTTTTTTTCGCTTCCTCCAACGTTGAAAAAAAAAAATGTCTCGAAAGCACACAAACAGCTCTTGACGGAAACAGCGATGTACGCAAAGGTTGATCTAAAAGCGATGAACTCCTTGTACAGATCACTGTGTGCTAAGCCACTATGGGCGGTCTCCAAGAGAACCCTTGCAAGTGCTGCAAACACGGCTTCAGCACCGGCCAAAGTTGCGATCTCGGAAGAGGAAGCAAAGAAGTCTGCGCCATTGGTGGCTCTTCATCACAGACTTGGGCTGCCAACCAGTTTCTCGCTGAGCACATTGGCCAGATGTCTTACATGTCGCTCTGCGAAGACGCCATATGAGGACAACTATGCGTTGAATATCCTCGGTAAGAACTTCTTGTCCTACTACACAACTGAATACCTCTTGGGCCAGTACCCAAGATTGCCAATTCCTATTCTCAACGCTGCCGTGTCCTCGTATGTCTCGTCCCTGTCACTGTTGAGTGTTGGTAAGGACTCATGGGGTATTGACATTGATGGTACTCCATCACTACAGAAGATCCTCAACGAGGAGCCAAAGGAGTACAGTCTGGGTAAGTTGAGATTCGTTCCAGTGGACCCTCGTTCTGAAAGAGGTGTCACCAAGCTCACTGGTGCTCCAGGCGAGTTGAGTACCCACAACGCATACTCCCTTGCTGTGAGATCCATCATTGGTGCTCATTACTTGTCCACGAAGGATGAGTCAACCACAAAGGAGTTTATCTATCAGCACATCTTGTCCAGAAAGCTGGACATTTCAACGATGTTTGAGTTCGAACAGCCAACCCGTGAGCTGTCCACGCTCTGTAAAAGAGAGAACTTGGAACAGCCAGTGGCCAGATTACTTGCTGAGAACGGTAGATCGTCAAACTCCCCAGTCTACGTTGTTGGTGTGTTTAGCGGTGAACAGAAACTGGGTGAAAGTTATGGCTCTTCCCTGAAAGAGGCCAAAATTAGAGCCTCTGTCAACGCCTTGAAGAACTGGTACTTGTACAAGCCGGTCACGGTTTCGGTACCGAGCGATGCTGACTACAAACCAGGTGTTGTCGATCACGGTATCGTCATTGTCTGAGTTTTCGCTGCCATTCCTTACATATATGTGTATCC